AAACTACATAAAATGCGATCTTGTTGTCTTTCGGGCAGGTGCTTTACAATATCAACCACATTTTCACAAACAAGATTACTATTCAGCCCTAAAACGGAAAGAAATAGGTGCGTGACATTTCCTTAAAAAAATTAGTTACAATAGAATATTTTCATGTAAATAAATTTTATTAAATATTGTCGTTTGACCTATTCTGGATCTGTACTTACGTGTATTTCCCTGTTGAAGGGCAGTTTTGGCAGAACAGGGGTATTTTAAACCTCGACCAATTTCTTGCCAACAAATTTTGCACCTCGTTGTTAAATTAACAGATTTTGTGGTTTCATTCAAAGTTTTTCCAGATTGTTCACAGTTTGAAGAAACGTTATTTTGGGTTGATAAAACAATACGATTTTCAAATTTTCTTTTGTTACCAGCCCCTTTTCTTGGTTTAACGTGACCTTTGTTTATTTTATTTTATTTATAAAATTAGATCAATTTTTAATTTCTTTATATTTCAATTTATTTTATATAATACCTTTATACCGGGCCTTTGTACAAATGAAATCACAACAGTTAAGGTTATCAGTTTGTCGAGTATTCTTTGGTAATTGTATATCTAAATAATTCGGCATTACTGGTACTGGTCTCTTAAAGTCACCCTTTTCGTAATCATCAAGTGATAAACGGCAAGAAACGCAAATACTTAAAGGAAACTTGGAATTATGTAGATCAAATTTTTCATTTAAAAACTTTTTGATCAAATCTACATATTTTTCAGTTATAGAAAACCACTCTAACTTTTTTTCTTTGAGAACAATTTTTTCTCCACAAGGGGCGCAAATTTTTCGGTGGTTTTTTTCGTGGGTTGTTGATACATCATTTTCAGACATTTTTGTGTCATTTATATTTAACCAACTCACCAATCAAGTCAAATGTAAAATGTAAAACCAATAATAAAACTGAAGTTGCATTTCTTTAAAAAAACGAAAATAAAAATCTTCCTTTATTTATCGAAAATTATGAAAATTTGCAATATCTCGCTTAAACGATCAGCTACGATTTCAAATCAAACGGATTTGTGATATTTACGCCACCCCGAACACATTCCCCGTTTCAGTTTTACTCGTCATTTTTGCTTGGAATTTCCTAGCTTCAAGACAGCCGTGTGCGTGAAGTTGGCACCCCTTTGTAAATTAATGATTAAAATGAATTGATATGTAAGTAAAATTAAAAACTAATTAAATATCATTAGAGCAATCCTATTATTTTTTAAAAACTATACCTAACGGGTTTTATTATGTACTAGAAATAATAGACATTATATTGCGCGCCTGCGCTTTAACAAACATTTTGTTTTAATGAAAATGCTGTTATCTAAGTAAATATCAACTATCAAACGTTGGAAAGTGAATATCAATCACTATCAAACGACCAACAAACGATTAATAGTGAAAGAATTGAAAAATACTGAATTTGTAGTGCTGCGTGAAGTTGGCACTCCTTTGTGATAATTATTTAATCTATTATATTTCTTTTAATTAAAATTAATAAATCTTTAATTTCGAATGTTTGAACACACAATTAATAGTATAATTTGTTTGGAAATAGTAATAAAGCACGATATGTCATTAATCAGTTTTTAATTTACCGCCATTCATTCTTCTGCGCTTGCGCACATTGATGGTTGCTAGATTTCCACATGTTTTTAGGAATGACGATATCTTTTAAAATAAGGTCTATCAAACGTTTAGAATGAGCTATCAGTAACTATCAAACGAGCAACAAACGATTGGTGAAGAGCAAATTAATATTCATTGAAATTGGGATGCACCGTGAAATTAGCACCCTTTTTTTAATTCTCTATAATTTCCCGTGTGGAAAATTGGCAATGGCCCCGTGAGGGGCACTCGTGGATTGCCCTCGTGCCGCATGGAAACCATAGGGGCAATCCACGTGGAGCCCTCAAAGGCGTGACATGCTTTCCCTCATGGGTACCCTCATGGAAAATCCTCGTGGATTCCATATGGATTTTCCATATGGTGCCCTCACGGATTCCATTAGAGGCCATTTTAAATATCCTTATCGTTTCCTATACTTTTATTATTATTTATTTGTATAATTCATGCAATATTACATAAAAAAGTATTACGAGGTTGTAATTCGTTTATTAAAATTTATTATATTTTATTTATAAATTTTATAAATTTATATTATAAAAGTTAATTAATAATAAATAAGCTTAAGTTATGAATAAATAACATATTTATTTAATAATTATTCAATTTTAAATTAAATTCTTACTCAAATTGAATTTATTAATTAACGTTCTAATTAATTAACTGTCGGATATAATTAAAAGTAATAATAAATTAATTAATTAAAAAATTAAAAAATATGTAATTTATGCATACTATTAACGGATATTTTCATTTTTCAATTAATTCATACATAGAATTAATGATTAAACGCAAACCTGAGAAATAAATAAATCTAACGCATGGGGGGAATCGAACCTACGACCTACGGACTATGAGTCTAACGCTTTACCAACTACGCTACGCACGCTACTTCAAAACGAATGCTAACTTCTTGATGCTATTTAAACTTCAAAAATACCTAACAAAGAAAAGTGCTTAACATCATTTAGTTAAAGTTAAGATATTAAATTATATTTTCCAATCAAATGCAATTTATAAAATATAATTAATTATATGCTTTATGATTATTATCATGAATCATCTCAGGTGAATTTTCAAAAAAGTGTAAATATATTTTTATTAAAAACGCGTTTTTCGTTGTTTTGAATCATTGGAAACATTCATTTTTTGTTGATGAAAAAATATTTGAATTTTGAACTTAGAAAAATTTTTGAGCAGGGCACCGTGAGGGCAAATAGCGGGGGCCCTGCTGGTGCCCGCATGGATTTTCCACTTGGGACCCTGCCGGGGGCCCCTATCACGCGTGGGACGAACGGGGCGTTTTCCACACGGGATTGTTTAGTTTTTGGTATCAAACGTCTAATATCGACTATCAAACGACCAACAAACGTTTATTACAATAAAAAGTTGATTTTTGCAAAGTTTTGGTGGCAACTTCACGAGGGTGATAGAAATAATTATTTTTACCTTTCATGGATCAAAATTTCCATAATTTTAATCTCTAAATTTTTTTAAATGAAGAAACCAAAAAACCATAACCTAAATAAAAAAAACAAGTTACGGTATTTCAATTTTGCACGGCAGTAATAATAACAAGAAAATAAATACAAAAATGTAGATAAATGAAATGAATAAGAAAAAACAAGTAAATTTATTATGAAACACATCTAGTGCAAAAGAAAAGTTTATATTATAAAAATTATATTTTAGTATTAACACTGATTGCAATTAGAAAGTGTGTTTGAAAATCGTATTTTTATTAAATAAAAATAATTAAATTAAATTAAATAATAAAATAAAAATTGAAAATATAATTAAAATTAAATACAAAAAATTATTAGTTATGTAAATTTTATAGAAGAGTTAAGCGCGGTAAATGATTTTCATTTAATTTCTTATGCAAGCAAACTTTTCGCTTGATAACAATTTTTATTTTTGAAATTAAAGTAAAACAAATAGATTTTCAATTAATAAAAGTTTGCATGTATCAAACTTTTTATGAGAATTTTAATTCTCTTATTAATTAATATTTTGTAAAAAAAAAAAAAGTAAAAAAATTCAAAAAAGTCGTATAATTCGAGGCCTGCAAAAGTGAAAAAATCGAAACTTAAAAATGAAATAATAATTCAAATTAATTAATTAAATTAAATAATAATTTAAAAAATCAATATTGAAAGTCTATAGGATATAATAAATATTTTAGTTAACAAATAATGGAACTCAAGTCCAAAGCTTGTATTAATTTATGTAGAGAAGAAAAGAGAAATGCAAATTAAATCTTAAAAAGCAAAAAGGTTATTCGAAACATTTACGATGTTTCAAGGAAATGTCATTTAAATATCAAACTGATTCTTTACAAAAAAAAAAAGATTCAATGCGATCATTTACATCACACCTTATTATAAATTCAATTGTTCAATACAATATTCTAGAATAATTTCTGACACATTATTATGTTTTGAAGTCAATACAGTTGGAAAAAAAATAATAGAAAAATTAACGAAAGTGCAAAACTCGTGAACATTGAAAACAAAACTGTTATTAATTTTTTTTTAAGTAACAATGAATTTGGGCTATTTTATATGCATGCGCAGCACAAAAATATCCTATTTCACAAACTAACATTTAACATCAGAATTTGAAATTAATGTTCCAAAATTTCTGAAATCTTTTACGTTGAATAATTCGTTTAACAAATTATTATTTAATTAAAAATTAAAATTTCAACAAACTTTCTTTAATTTTATATTTTTACAAAATTTCTTTACAATTAATAAATAATAAATTAATTCAAAAAAAAAAATAAAATTGTTAATAATAATATAATATTTTCAAAGATCGAAATAAAACTATAAAAATTTTTGAAAAATATAATTCCCGTAAATTTTTAAATGGTTTCAATTTATATTTTAACTAATTGAAAATTTTTTATATAAAAAACGTCAACTTTACAACAAATATTTTTAAATAATAAGCAAATTTTCTGATTTTTTTAAATAAATTTTTTTTCAAAATAAAAAAAAAATATCATTAAAATAATTAACAAAAAAATTTACTAAAATTCTAGTTAAAAAATATTTGTTTTATTAAATTATGCAAAATATTTAAATTATTCTCCATTTGATTTCAAGATATTTTTGCTAAACAAAAATTTCATTAAGATTTCTACGATTTCCAAAAATGGTATACATTAGAGAATTGTTTCGAAATAGATTATAAAGAAGAAGAAAATAGAACTTTGTGCGGAATCGATAAATAAGGAATTTAGGTTTCGACAATTAGAAGCTGATGATTTGGAAATCGAAGAAAACTTGCTTTTTCAATAAGGGAAAAAGAAATATACATGTAAGAAATATTTACCAAGAAAATCGAGTCTGTCCTTGGCCATTGCCAAGTTGGTTCGCATTTTTTCATGAAGTCTCTGTGCTCGTTCCCAGACTTCCCCTCGGCCACCATAACATTCGACAGCGATTCCTTTTTCCAATTCGCCAATTCCTTTTTTATAAAGTTCAATGGCCATTTCCTTGTGACCTGTAAACATTGCAAATAAAACTATTGAAAAAAAAAATTAATCATTTCTCTTTGTTTTTTTAAAAACAAATGAATTATTTGTATAATCAGAAGAAAATCAGACAAGTCGTTTTCCTTGACTGATATTGACAATAGATAATCGTAGGTGAATTCTCCGAATGTAATAAATATTGATTTACTACAAAAAAAATGAATTTTCAATATGTAAAATTGCATTGAGATCATGTAATAGATATTTTTTTTTAGAAAAATTTAAATAATCGATATTGTGGAAGAAAACAGTAAAGAATATTTTAGTTTAAAATTCACTTAATTCAAAAATTTTTCAAAATAAAAATATATATATTTGTAAAATAGAATTTTTTAAATAAATATAATATGCATTTACTTGATTTAATAAAATATATTATTAATTAATTTAATTCAACTAATAATCATATCATAAATTTTGCATTAGGAATATTTATATTATTTTTTTCAAATTAAAAACATATTTTTAAAAAATTTATCAATTTACTTGTTCAATTTCTTTTCTAAAGTAAATTGTTTTTTTTTTTTTTAATTAAATTTATTTCGTAATCTCAATTACTTTTGCATAGTAAATTATTTTGTAAATTCAATTACTTTCTTTTTATTTTTATTGCTCGATTTAAAAAAAAATAATAAAAACTGGTACATATCGCGATTTTGATAACGTAATGCGCAAAATTGGTTTAAAAATATTTTTTCAAACTAAAAATTGTTCAAAACTATCTTTTTTATATAAATAGTTTCTATATATAGGAAAATCACAAAAAAATTTTAAATTATTTTTAATTTTGAAATAATTAAATTAAAATTAAAGAATTAACTTAAAATTGTTCAACAATAATTTTGTGAAATTACATTTGTTCAACATTAAAAAAAATGTTATTAATAATAAAATTTTTAATAACATTTTATTAAAAAAAATATCTTAGTTAAAAAATTTTTATATTTTTAATTTTGAAAGAATAATATAAATATTACTTCAATCTTAAATTTATAATTTTATTTATTTTATTTACAACTATTGATCCCGTAGTCCATAAGAGACTATAAATGGATAACGAGAAAATTATTGACTTGTACTTAAGAATATTGTAAATTAATATTATAATTAATTAAGTAATAAATTTAAAATACTTTTTTTTGTTAATTTATTCAAAATACTTGAAAATTTATGTACATCATTAGAAAAAATGTTTTATCCCGAATTGTTTTTATATTTATTAAACAAATTTGAAAAAACAACTTTTGTATCAAAATTATTTAAAATTGCTTTTTGAACTAGAAAAAAAATTTATAAATTGCTTTTTTGAAAGAAATATCTTTTTGTAATGAACGAAACTTACAAAAAAAAGTAATCAGAATATTAATTTCGCGCCGAAAATATTTTAAACTTTATATCAAATTGATTGTTTAAAAATTAAATAATTATGTAAATAAGAAAATAATTGAAATCCCAAAAAAGAATGTATTAAATTTTTCAATTTTCTAATTTTTAATTAAAAAATAATTAAATTAGAAAATAATTAAGTCTTTACAATATAGAATTTTAAAAAAAAATTGAAACATTTAGTTGAAAATTTTTATAATTGAATTTAATTGGTAAATAATTAATAGTGTAAATTGTTTTAATTTTTTTCAATAAAAATTTCAAATTTTTTAATTTTATATTCAAAATACTATTTTTTTTATTAGTTCTAAATATAATTGAAACAGTGCCCTAAATTAAATTAATTTAATACAAAAAAATAATCATTTTTAATTAAAATTTTTATTTATTAAAAATAAATATTATTCGTATGAAATTTCTCGAACTTTCAAACATAAATTGCATAAATAAATATAGAAAAAAAAAATGAAAAAAAAATAAATAAATTTATCCTTTCTTGCAAAGGAATTTTCAATTTATTCATGAAATTATCATAAATAGTTCATAAATGACCTTTGTTTACAAAATTTGATATTTTGAGAAAGAGATTAAAATTTTCAATTTTTCTAATTTACAAAACTATTTTTTTTTTTGAATAAATTTTTACCTCAATTATATAAAAATAACATCGACAATATTAAAAAAATATATATTCATTTTAAATTGATCTTCTCTAAATTTTGAGTTTTCTTTTGAAATAAAACAAAATAAAAATGAATAAAAAAAAATACCTTCATTTTCTTCGTCAATTTTAAGAGCTTTGCTAATAAATTCAAATGCCCGTCGATGATGATGTTTTTGTTTAGCGAGAAGAGGATCACCAGGTCCTGGACCTGTTCTTTTAACAATTTGTGACATTCCCTCGTCCTCTCTTGTTGTTGATACTTGTAATAAATTTTCAGCTGTCTCTCTATCAACGACAATTTCCAATTGACAATTATTTCTTGTAACTTGTCGACGACGAATTAAATACGATGTCGAGGCATATAAATATTTAAAAACAACAAACAATTGATAAATCAATGAGCGTAGAATATTGAATAGAAAAATTAACGGCAATGAAACAACATAAAGATTTCTTTTATGTATTGAGGGTGGATTATGACTTCCCTCACCAAAACGTTGATTATTATTATAACTTATCGTTGTTGTTGTTCTATCACTATTTTCAGCTTTTGTTACGCGTAATTTTTTTGGTGATCTATTTGATGATTTTCGTATTGAACGTCCCCCGCCATCACTGTAAGACATTTCCCGAAACAATTTGACACAATACCAAACAATCCAAAGGAAGAAATCGCTCTGACATTCCCGACGATGTCAGAAAAATATATATAAACGAAAAAGAAATCTTAAATGATTGTCATCGTGCAATTTAGTCCCCGTGAAACTTAACCTCAAAAAATAGAGACACTTCGCGTTGCACGACACTTATGCAATGTTTATTTTCCGATTTGAATTGAGTGTAAAAAGTGATTAAATAATCTTTTCTTTCTTTTTTTCTACTTATGCTTATATAGTTCACTTGTGTATATTATGATGTTGAGAGAGCTTTACGCAGAAGCACTGCGATTTCTTGCTTTCTCGCATTTCCCATATTATCAAGAATCGTTTACAAAGGGACAATTGAAAAAAAAAAAAAAAAACTGTCGCGCCCCTATTTCCCCATTTTTGCACGCAATTTATACGGAATTGAGCAAAAAAATTGGAAATATTTGTTTGGATTGTTGTTGACAAAATAAAAACGAACGACACGACAAAGCCCATAGAAAAAGGGTGCTGACGAAATGAGAAAATTTATTTTGTTTACTTTTTTTTTTGGTTATTTAAAATTTTAAATCAGAATTTTTTTTAGTTCCTTCTACTTTTGTATATTCCGCATAATTTAAATTTTTTTTAAAAAATTGTTATTAACAATTTTTTTTAAATCCTTGATATTAATAACTAAATGCAAAAACAATACTAGAATTTAACGGTAAATTAAATAACAAATGTTATTTATAGGTTTTCTTAATACAATTTTAACTAATATAAAATTTTAGATACCAGTAATTATATAGTAGTAAACAAAAATAAAATAGTTTTTTAAAAACATTTTAAATGATACACTGCAAAACATTCCGACCAATCGAAAACAAAAGTTTACGCATGCGCACTATTAAAAGTTTTAAAAAATGTTATTGTAATAAATAAATAAATTTTTCTCAAAACAATTTTTTTTTTACTAATTATATTTCCCTTTTCAGAAAAATTATTGAAAAAAACAAATCGTTTTTTGTGTAAAACCAAATATAAAGAACAAAAAGGTTATAAATTTTCAGGTTATTAAGAAAATAGATAATTAGAAAAAAAAGGAGAAAAATATTTTATTTCATTATTCTTTACATTATAAAAAGACGTTAAAAAACAGCTGTGAGTTAATAATTGATAATTTTTAAAAAAAATTTGAAAATCAACTGCTGATAAAGAAGAAAGATCGCTGATTGGCCGGATTTCTCTGGAGTTCAGCCATTTTTCCGCCAACCATTTTTAGTTTAGTAGTGGATTTCTAAGCGCTATATCACCGCAGAAGTTTTTTTTTTTCGCTGTTTCGCATCATCGTGAAATTCTATATAAATTGTGGTGTTTTTTAGATTGACAAAAAAAATGTCGACCTTGAGCGGAGACGAGGCTGAAATTGTTCAAGAAGATGCAGGTAATAAATAACAATCCATGTGTATTTTGATTTTAATTAAAAATATTTTTTACATATTTCGCGACGCGATAATCGTGATCCTGAACACATAACCGGCACATCGCCATGGCTCATGGATCGACCCGCCATTAAATAAATGTGGCGTCACACCTTTTATTAATTTATTTTCTTTTTGAAAAACAATTTATTTATATGTTTATTTTTTTTTTGTTGAAAATCTAACCTCAATTTGAATTGTAGCAAAATTTCATGCTTTCAATCGATCAACGTTTTCAATATACGTTTTTAGAATTTTCTCCAAAAAAAAAAGGTTATGTACGTCGGACTTTGTGATAAGCCGCGGAAATTTATTCCGTGAATATGAATAATTTTTTTTGTTGATATAGAAATTATTTCAAAGTGAAAATTCATATTAAACGATTTATTTTATATAATTGTATTTTTTAATGTGTGTAATTTAAAGGTTTCAAGGGATAAAGGGATTATTGATTTTTTTTTCTCGTTGGTAACTATATTGTTTGTTCAATATAATCAATGTGTAAATGACCTTATCACAATGTTTGATTAAAAAAAAAAAATTTTTGTGGAATTTTCTGAATTTTTTTTTTTTATTTTAGTACGAAGAACGAGATCAGGCAGAGCTACTAGAAAAGTTGCGGCACCGACACCGGTAAAGAAAGTAGTCAAGAAAGTTACACGAGCTGCTCGTTCACCAAGGAAAACACAGGAAGTTGAGGAAGATGTAAGAGAGAATTTTAGATTTAATGTTTCTTTTTTACTACGGCTTTATTTCGGTGTTTATTTTAAAAAAAAAATTTATTTTTTATTTTTATTGATTTGTTTATTTATAATTTTTAAATTTATTATTAAAAATTATTTTTCAATAATTTTATAGAATTAAATTTATTATATTATATTATATTAATTTTTTAATATAATAGTTTTAATAATTAATTAATAGTTTTTTTCTTTTCTTACTAACAATTATTCAATTATAAACTTTTTATTAAAAAAAAAAAATCCAATTTTTCCATTTCTAAATGTTTATTTTCTAATAAAATTCTTTTGTTAATCAAACATTTTTTAAGTTTTTAATTTTTTTTCTGGAAGCTCCAAAAAATTTTTGTAATTTTGCAATTTTTAGTATTTTTCTAATTTAATTTATCTGTTATTAAAATTTAACATAGGTATTTTATTCTTTTGAAAATGTTAAATTTGATTTTTTTTTTAAAATTGAAATCCTTAATTCTAGGACTTGAAGTTAACAAAACAATTTCATATCTCTTTGTTCTTTTATAAGAACAACAATTTAATATTTCCGAAACGGAGCAAAATATGTTTGTCAAAAGCAGATAAATTATATTAGTAAAAAAAATTATGTTAATCAAATTGTTATTTAACAAATTTTTCATTAAATTAAATTTTTATCAGTTTTCATTTAACAAATTTATTGTTATTTGACGTGATTTTTATTTAAACATTTTTCATTTAACCAAATTTCATTTTATCGAATTCGCTTTTGATCCAATTTTCATGTAACGAAATTTTCTTTTGAAACAATTTATATTTAGTAAAAAAAAAAAAAAAAAAAAAATTTATACTTTATAAAATCAGGGTGTCTAACAGTCAGGGAATTTCTTTAATTTTCTAGAATTTTTTATAAATAAATTAAAGTAACTATTAGTTTCAAAAAATATTTACTTTTTTCCCAAAAATTAAAAATTAAAAAATTGGCCTTCACACTCAATTATTAAGCACGTGATATATTTTATATTCATTACGTAAATAATTATTTACTACTACCCAGATAACCAGCGTACTAGTACGATGCAAGTACAATACGAGTACGGCGTACTAAGCGTACTAGTACTGTACCCGCCATCTACCTCCGTAGGGTACCAGGTACTGTACTGGTACGTCGTATTATTACGCTGTACTGGTACAATACTAGTACGATAAAAGTATGGCGTACTGAAAGTCTTTTGTGAATTAGTATAACGTACCGTTATTGTACTGGTACAATACTGGTATGCTGTATAAAGTAAAAATTCTATACCCCCTCCCTCTCTCCTTCTACAATAGTATTTTAATTATTTTAATTTATTATTAAAAAGGAAAATCTTTGGGAGGACTGAAATAATAATAATTCATTTTTATTTATTTTTATTCAATAATTTTTTTTATTTATATCATATATGTCTTTGCATATATTATATAAAATATGTAACTTGTATTCTCACTTATCTTAGAATATCTCATGTTTTATATTATTCTAATTAATTAACTTTATTAAGTATTAATTGACTGCTTGCTTGTATTTAAACATTATTTCAAAAGAATTTTAAACTTGATGTTTCAAATTGTTTTGATGTTGGGTGAAACATCTTATCACATCCTAACCTATAAATATGTTATATATGTATAAGAAAAACTATAGCGAAGTAACACAATTCAATTTATATTAATATCATCAAGATTAAGTTTACGAATTTTTTTCAATATAAATTTATAAAAAAGTTTATAAAAGAAAAGATTTAGATTTTTTTCAATGAAAGAACACTGTGGCACAAAGCGTCATGTCAAAGCAAAACAACATAAATCTTATAAAAATCGATAATTTAATATAAATTTAATCACGGATATTCAAGATAAGTACAGAAGCACAAGTTACAAACGTTAAAACTTTTTTGCTGCATCATAAACCACTTTTTTCACCAACATTTATTGCACCGTTTTCAGTGACGCGTTCATAGTTGACAACTGTTAAGAAAGTGAGGTTAGGTTGGCATTACCAGCAAAGAGTCACAGTACGACGTACCAGCATTATACTTGTATCGTACGAGTATGTTGTGCTTCTTATTTCAGAAGTACGACGTACTGGCATTGTACTAGTACTATACTTTTATCGAGTACTCACATTTTATAATTCTAACAGTACGACATACTTTTATTATACTAGTACTGCACTGGTACGTACATACATAATTATTTTGTACTGGTATGAAACTAGTATAATACCAGTACTCCGTACTCGTAAATAACGTTTAGTACGCTTGGCTATCTGGGTATTTATTGAATTTAATAAATGATTTTTTTTAACTTGGATAACAAATAATTTTTTTTAGTGAAATATTTGCTTTTTTAATATAAATAAAAATTATTTGAATTTTATTTTATCGGTTCAACTTCAAATAAAGTAAATTATTAATTAATACGAATAATTTATTATTTAATGCTAATACCCACATTTAACTTATAAAAATTTTTACGGCGTCGAATATTAAATTATCGAATTTCTATTTAGCAAAATTGTATAAAGTGGATTTTATATTATGCAAAATTTTCAATTTACATTTAACTAAAATTCGATTTAAAATAATTTCTATTTAGCAGAACTCTTATAAAGCATTTTTTCTAATTTTTTCTAAAAGCCTGACTCGGAGTGATCGATTTATTCAAATTTTCTTTCTTTAACTAAGAAAACCGAGTGATAAATTCAATTATTTATAATTTTTTCTAATACTTTTTAAAAATTTTAAATTAATATAATTTCAATTAAACGAAATTTATGTCTATAAAAATTGATAAAAAAAAGAACTAGGTAGAATTTTTCTTAAATGAGAATTCTGTTAAATAAGAATTAGCTGTAATTAAAATTTTCTTTAATAAAAACTTTATTAATTAAGAATTTTGTTAAATAGAAATTCTGTTAATTGTCGATTTATTCAATGACAATTCTGTTACGTAAATATTTTGATAAATCGAAATTTACTAAAATAACAATTTTGTTAAAAAAATTGTTCTTTATGCAATTTTTCTTGACATAAATGCCGTTAAATTGAAATTGTATTAATTTGAAATTCGATGTACTAGAAAATGTGCTTTATATAATTTTACTAAATAAAAATTTGATAATTTAAAATTTGACACTGTAAAAATTGTTTTAAATTAAATGTTGAGAATATTTATACGTCCCCAATTAGTTTATTTATTTCACTTAAATATTTTATTTTTTACGAAACATTATTTATTTGGTTCAAATACATATGAAATTAGTGGATAATAGACAGGTAAATGATTTAATTGTATCAAAATAAATTTTATTTGATAAAAATAAAAATTTTTTAGTGTAATTTAGGTCACGGAAAAGTCAGGGAATTTTTTTCCTAGCAGTTGTTAGACACCCTGTTTAACTAAATTTCATTTAATCGAATTCGCTTTTGATCCAATTTTCATGTAACGAAATTTTCTTTTAAAAGAATTTATATTTAATAAAAAAAAAAAAAAAAAATTTATACTTGATAAAATTTAAGTTTTGCATTTCAAATTTGAATTATACTTTAATTTCAGTTGTGTTAATGAAATGTTTTTTTTTTTAGCATGAGACAACAGTGATTGAAGGAGATTTAGATGAAATTCCAGCAAACGGTGTTCAAGCAGTGGAACAACAAGAGGAAGTTACCGAAGGTGTCCCCGTGGAAGTTGCACCAGAAGAAAATAATGAAATGAAAGAAAATCAGCTTGATTTGAACCTTGAGGAATGTCAGGAAATTGTTCCTGAACTTGAATCTCCTCCTCCACCAAGTGTTACCAACGTTCAAACTGCAACTGCAATTCATTCAACTCTCAAAGTTAAAGAATCCCCACAGAGTTTGGTAAGAAATTATTTTCAATTTTCAAGTAATAATTTTATTACAACACACAAATAATTACTTTTAAAATATTTAGAAGAATTTAGAAAATGTATTTGAATTGAACAAGATTTAATTTTTTAGAAATAAAGTTTAGATTTTTAGAAATGATAATTGAATATCAGGAGATTTTAAATGGACATTTTTTGTAAATTTCAATTTCTGTTTTTTTTTTTGAACAAATTGAACTTTAGAGAATTTTTAAGTTTTTAAATAATTGAATTTTCAAAAAAGTTTAATAAAATTATTCAGAATAATTGACTTTGCAATGAATTTTAAATAAAAATTTATAAATAATTTAAATTTAGAAGAGCTACAATTAAGATGTTTAGAATTAATTGAACAGTGTGTTTAACGGTCAGGAAATTTCCATTATTCTCTTGATATTCATAAAAATTACTTTAACAAACTTGTACACAATTTTTAATTATTCCCCGAAAATTCTTATTGTATTTTGAAAATTATTTAAATTCTTGATTTTTCATTCAATTTGTTTCTAATTTCTCAAAATTAAATATTTATTTTTACAAACTGTGTCAAAATTTTCAATTTTTTATTCTCTTTTTTTTAATTATTTGATAATTATAATAATTTGTTTAAACAAGTTGTAAAACATTTAAAAATTTAAATAATGATAAATATTTTGATTATCAATGAAAATTAAAAAATATTCTGAATGAATATTATATTATGTAAATGAATAAACAGTAAATTTTTTTTATTCTTGAAGTTGTTAGACACCCTGTTGAATTACAGTAGATTTTAAATTCAAATTTTTGTAAATTTGAATTTCTGAAAATTGTTTATAAATTTTTAACAAAATAATTCGAGTTTTTGGAGAATTTTTTATGGAACGATTTGTAAAATAATTACACTTTCTAAGAAGTTTATGAAAATTATTAAAAATGATTAATTTGACAAAAAAATTTTTTTTTATTAATTAAAAATAAATATTTTAACATGCAATTGAACATTTTTACATTATTTTAATTTTTAATAATTCAGTTTTTCAAGAATTTATTCAAAATTTTGAAAAAATTAATTTTCTGAATAATAGTAATTTGAAAAATTTTGAAAATAATTGAATTTTCTAAAGAATTTCTTTAAAAAAATTTGGAAATATTATAATTAAATTTTTAAAGAATTTGTTGATAAATAATTTGTTAATAAATAAATTATTATTTCATTTTTGTGCTTCTTTGCTTTAAGTTTGTAAGCAATTATAATTTTTATCTAATTTTTTGTAAACAATAACTCATTTTGCTCTTGGATCGATTCTGTACAATTTTATCTGTTGAATTTTGTTTACAATATTTTGTTCAAAAATTATTGAACAAATACAAATTTTCAATAATTTTTAAATTAATATTATTTAACAAAAATGAACAAACAGAATTTTAGAGATTCTTTATTAGAGTAAAATGTGCTTTTGTTTGTACAAAATTGGATAAAATATTGTAACTGTTAACTAACTTTAAATAAAAAATGCAAAATGTTAAAGAATTATTATTTGACAACAAATTTTGACTCAAAATAATTTTTTAAAAAGTTGATAATTTGATAATTCAAAAGTCAAAATTTTGTAAAATTAATATTACTTCTAATTGATCATAAAACAATTTTTTGGTTTACGGTTACTGTTTAGGTGAAATGAAATAAAAATTTTGTTTTTTCCCCTCTTTTTTTTTAGGAGGAAAATTCAGAAATGGAAACAAACAACAAAGATATAAAAGAAGTGGACATTACAGAGGATATTGTAGAGGATATAACGGAGGTTACAGACGAGATGATTCCGGCGGAAGTTGTCGACATGGTGACAATTGAAGAATCAGAACCAAGTTCAGTTATGGAGATCGAAGAAGAAATTCAAAAGGAAAACGCCGTTGAAATTGTCGAGATTACAGAAAATGTATCAGAGGATTTTAAAGAAGACGAAATTGAATGTGAACCCGATGCCGTCATTGAGCCAGAACCCACAGAGGAAATGGAAGAAATGACGGATAAGAATCAAACAACTGAAACAATTGAGGATCAGGAAATGACAAATAGTTCCGAAACAGAAAAGAAAATTGAACCAGACACTGAAGCTGTTTCCGAAGATGAATTGCCGACTGAAGCTGCAGCCAAAGTAAGTTTTAGGTTTTTTTTTTTTTTTTCTCTTTGAAAACTAAAATTGTTTTTATGTCATTTTTTAGAAACTTAAACCCATATTTTATCATTAAAATTTAAAGAAAAATATTTTTTTTATTTTTTAGAAATTTTATTTTTTTGAGAAAATTAAAATTTTTTGAAATCCATATAATTGATTTGGATAAATTTATTAAATTTTTTAATTCAGCTTGAAGATATGGAAGAAGTTTCCGATGATGATTTTCCCATCGAGTGCATGATCCAGGTATTCCTTAAATCCTTCCATCCTTCCAGTTCCTTCGTAAATTGTTTGTCTTTTTAAAAATTTATTTCTTGAAATTAAAATGTATTTTTTTATTTGTTTAAATTTATTTTATTTTAGAAAATTATTCTTTTTCAAATAATTTTATTGATATATTTAAAAGTAAATTTATTAATTAATAAAAAAAGAATTGCAATATTTTTTATGAATTTTTGCCAAAAAAAGTTGTTGTATAATTATTGTAGATTAATTTAAAAATTTTCTTTAAAAATTGTTTTAATTTTTATTACGTAAATATTAGGAACCAGAAACTGAGGCTGTTTCTGATGAAGAACTTCCTGCAGCCGCTCCCGCTGATTTGGGTGAAACAGAATCCGTTTCAGAAGACGAACTTCCACCAGACAGTGAGAAAAAGAAGAAGGGATTAAAGAAATCCGCTGAGAAAATGACAAAAGTTGACGGTGCAAGTAAGTTTATTTTTATAAATTAATTTAAAAAACAAAAGTTGCCACTTTTTAGTTAATTTTTTTTCTAAAAAGAAATAAAATAAATTAATAATAATAAATATAGTAAATCAAATAAACAAATTAAAAATAAAAACTGCTGCCAAGTTGAAGTATAAACATTTTGTGTTCATTTCATGAACACTTTACTGCCTCATGGAAATTTTTTGTGATCAATTTATGGTAACTTATTTAGATATTATAATGATATAAAAAAAAATTATCCCTTTAGCTCTTATAACATTCGAGATATTTATGAAAATGTAATATCAGGCTTCGAAGTGTTACACTTTTTTGATACTTTTTTTCGTCAAAGCTACTTTTTTACTACTAATTTTGGCCAAAAGCCACTAAATGCTACTTTTTTCAAAAAATAATTTAAAAAATTATTTAAAAAATTATTTAAATAAATTATTTAAAATTATTTAAAACTACTGCTTTATATAATTATTTTTTACATGAATTTTTTTTCTACAAAATAGCATTTAACACAGAATTTTTTTTAAACAAATGTTTACTCAACGGAATTTTCAAAGTAACGAATTTTTAAGAGAATTTTTATTTTACAAAATTTCTCTTTACCCAACTGTGCTTTTTTAAATAATTCTAATTTAAACGAAATTCAGACAATAATTGAATATTAGAGTATTTTGAATTGAAAAATATTTTAAATAATTGAAAAACCAAGATCTTGATTAAAGTTATTAGAAATAATTACTTCAACAAAAAATTTGAATCAAAATTTTTAATAATAATTGAATTTCAGGAGATTTTGAATTAAAATTTTTGTAAATTAGAATTGCTGAAAATTATTAACAAAGTTTCAAACAGTAATTGAATTTTAGAGAATTTTTAATTAAAAAATGTTTTATTTAATTGAATTTTTAAATAATTGGATTGAAATGATTAATTTAGCAAAGAATTTTAGATACCAATAGAAATAATTGAATTTTTGAAGAGTTTGAGTTAAGATTTTTAGAAATAATTGAATTTTTTGAGATTTTTAATTAAAATTGTTGTTTTAAAATACTAAATATTTTATGTAAGCTTCCGATTTCAAATTATAGGATTTAAAAATTCGAATTACTTAAAATTCTATACTAAATGAGAATTCTAATAAATTAAAAATAGATTAAATTAGAATTCTTTTCAAGAAACAGTTGGGTAAACAGAAATTTTGTAAAATAAAAATTCTGTTAAAAATTCGTTACTTTGAAAATTTCGTTGAGTAAACATTTGTTTAAAAAAAACTTTTGTATTAAATGCTATTTTGTAAAATAAAAATTCATGTGAAAAATCATTTTTATGGAATAATTATACGCTCCTACCGTTGTGTCGAAAACAAAAAATTAATCGAAATTTAACAATAGATAGTTTTTTTTTTTAAATAATCAGGAGTAAAATGATGTTAATTTTATTCATCAGAATTTTTCTTACAATTTTTTTAGAAAAGAAAATATTTACACTTTAACGTCAAACTTAGAAAACTAATTTTACTTCATTTTAAAGATGCCACTTTTTTGATACTTTTTTTCAATTTTGGGGATATTTTTTCATACTTAGTCTCTTACTACGCTTCGAAGCCTGTAATATATACATACACATGGGACGACATTTTTTAAAAATGTGATTTTTGGATTCCTAATGTCGAAATACATAAAAAAAAATTGAATATTAGTGTGCTCAGTGAAATATATATATATATATATATATATATATAAATTGTGCCTTAAAAGTGAGTGATTTTTAAGAAAAGAATATGAGGAAAAGTAAATCAGATTAGTTTGGTTGGTTTTGGTTATTGACCTCTTGTCCCAAAGCAAAGATCAAGCCATGACTTGAAATAAGATAAAATCATAAGTAGCATAAGTAAATCCAGTTGTATGTTGGAGCAAGTTTCGTGTTGGTTGACTGAGAGAAATAACATTAAAAGGGAAGAAGATGATTGGGAGAACTACTATGAGATTAGAATGGGTTTGATGCACAAGTGAAGATCATAGAAACTGAAATCAGTTTAAGATCGGTGCACAGGTTTACAATGTTACAGTTTATATTTATATGTATTTAATATGGCACTCAGTTTCAATCACCATGAAACATACTGAAGCCTTGTTAAAGGGGTATCATTAAAGATGTTGAGGTGTCGAAGGACACAGGTGCACTAGTCACCAATATAATGAAACTAGTACACTGTTATGATGAATTAATAATTAAAATAAGCGTACACCGACCCAATTATTCTATACCTATTCTTTACTTTATTTAAACTTACCCTGAAGCCAAAGGGATTCTGACTAAAAAGAATCACTGGTGCAAGGTTAACCAACAAGATTTAAATATGAGATAAATTCATCAACGCTGACTCGACCAAACGACGACATTGAATACTAATTATTGTGAGGTATTCATACTTTTCAGAAAACTTTTTTAGGTCCTAATGAACAACTTTCTCACTGAAAGTTTATTGTTGGTGAAAATTTTTCAGATAAACGAAGCGCTGGAAGATTGAAACGCACTAATTTTGCTTTGGTTCAGAAAAAAAATTAATTTTTTTTTTTTGTTTACACTATCAACCGAACAATAAAATAAGGCTTATTTTCATTTTTGTTTGATTAAAAAATATCAAAAATTGTCTTATTTGAGCCGCCGGAAAGTAAAAGGGCGCATAAAATTTGTACGGCCGTTCGAGTTGGCCCCTGACGCTTGAAAAATCGATTTAAAAAAAATTTTTTTTTTTATTACTACATTACTGGAAATTTTATGCCGCATCTTTTTTCTTCTATGAAAAAAATCTCTATCTTTTTCGGTTTTCGAGTAAATCGAAAAAAACTGGATTTTTAAAAAACACAAATTTAATTAAATTTTTCACTTCAACTCGCTCTAAAAAACAAAGTTATAAATATTTTTTGACAAAATTTACAGGAATTATAGTTTAAACTATTCTTAAGACGACAAACTTTGTATGAATGTGATTTTTTTATTTCGAAAAAAGTTATGAATTTTTTTGTTTCACAGTGCCAAATTTACGTTTCCAAATTTTCAAGGGCTTCGTTTATCTGAAAAATTTTCAGTCAGTGAAAACTTATCCCGAAAAAAATGTTCACTAGGGTCTTACAAACATTTTAGTAAAATATTTTTGCAATTGGAATAGCCGTTTACGAAATATTATTGAAAAACTATTTTTCGTCAAACGCGCGCGAGTAAACATAAACGACCTTGGCAGCCATTGCTGAGTACTAGCCGGCTCACACAAACGGGAAGTTTTTGACTCGCGCGCGTTTGACGAAAAATAGTTTTTCAATAATATTTCGTAAACGGCTATTCCAATTGCAAAAATATTTTACTAAAATGTTTGTAAGACCCTAGTGAACATTTTTTTCGGGATAAGTTTTCACTGACTGAAAATTTTTCAGATAAACGAAGCCCTTGAAAATTTGGAAACGTAAATTTGTCACTGTGAAACAAAAAAATTCATAACTTTTTTCGAAATAAAAAAATCACATTCTTACAAAGTTTGTCGTCTTAAGAATAGTTTAAACTATAATTCCTGTAAATTTTGTCAAAAAATATTTATAACTTTGTTTTTTAGAGCGAGTTGAAGTGAAAAATTTAATTAAATTTGTGTTTTCTAAAAATCCAGTTTTTTTCGATTTACTCGAAAACCGAAAAAGATAGAGATTTTTTTCATAGAAGAAAAAAGATGCGGCATAAAATTTCCAGTAATGTAGTAATAAAAAAAATTTTTTTTTTTTAAATCGATTTTTCAAGCGTCAGGGGCCAACTCGAACGGCCGTACAAATTTTATGCGCCCTTTTACTTTCCGGCGGCTCATTTATTCGCGAGTTGAAGTCAAAAAAATCATTAAATTTTTAGTTTAAAAAAAAAAAAACAGTTTTTTTTAAAGAATATTTCAAAAACCATAATATGTGGGAATTTTCGTCAAAGAGAAAAAAAATGGGCAATAAAATTCTCTATCGGAATAAGCTCACAAAAAACAAAAATTAAAAAAAAAAAAAAACAATTTTCTACTTAGTGGACAACTAATTTGAGCGTCAGAAAATTATAACAGGTTCTATGATGGGAACCCTCAATTGACGGTGAATATTTCCTCCAACCACTCACTCAATAATAAAAACAATTAATAATAAAACAATAACAATTAACAATAAAATATATGGATTTATTTAACAAAAATTATGATAATAAAATGTTCAAAGCGTGTGAAACGCAATTATTAAAAATGTGATTTCCGTGAAACGCGATTTTCTAATATGAAGATCCTTAATCGACGCCGACTTCCCATCAGATTTCAAATCCGCGAGAGGGGTGCGCTATCTTCCTTCCTAGTCAACCCTCCATCTCTCCATCCTTTTCCCATCAGGATTAATTTGGCGGCAACGTGAAAACTTGGATAACGACGGGTCATAAACACGCTGACAAGGAATATTCAACAGCTGACTAATTAAGAGAGTCAAGACGCAGACAAGAAAACCTAAGTAACGATTATAATTCGTTACAAATTGATAGTCGAATATAATCAAACTTAGCACACAATTGAAAAAGAGTATGGACGCTCACTTGATTTAATAGCATGGACTAAAAGAGTGTTTATGAAATAAAATTAATGGTTGCATAAGTAGACATAACAATTAGAGGACTTATGTGATTCGCATCTGCACGTAGGAAGAAGAAAATTATTAATAAATAATATATTAATGAATATATAGTAATAAATAATTATTAATAAATATATTAATTAATAATAATTATTTATTAAATAAGTTGTTTATTAATAAATATTGATTAAGTAATGTATTATTAATTTTAACAATTTTCTTTTCACACTTTCCCCAGGCTTAGGACTGGCAGCATATTATTCATTTAATATCTCACAAGTAAACGTATGGAACCCGGACTTACTAATTTTTATGAACCAAAGTTTTTTTTTTTTAGATTTACAGACA